GAGCAGCTGAGGCACAGATCGTCAAACGCCAGCGATTCTGGATATTCCAAAGTGCGGGATAGAAACGATGGTTATTCCGTTATCAATAAGAAGAAAAAGCTTGAACCCTTTGAGGTGAGCAATGTTGTCATTAGTTTAGTTCTCTACATTGTTCTTTATCAAAAAGTTTGATTTTAATAATTCTTGAACCATTTTAACACACTTTGAACCACATTTTTAGCCGACAATACCAACAGGTATGGTAGGCTATTAAGATCGGCAATTTTTTTTTTAATTTCACTTAAAATGAGTTATTTGGGTCATAAATGACCTAAATACAAAATATTTTCATGGTGTCTGTCTGTCTGTTCGTCTGTAACACGATAACTCAAAAACCGCTGAACCGATTTTAACCAAATTTGGCACAAAAATACTGTGGCACCCGAGAATCTGACCATTAGTTTTTGCTGGGGGTGGGTGGTTAGTAAGGGGGTTAAAAATTTAAAAAAATCGTAATTCCAAAATTACAGTAGCTAGCGAAATGCGGTTTTCAATTTAAGATAAGGAATAATATTTGCAACAAAATTTGTAATAACATCAAAATCAAACTCGCAGTTTTTGAGATATTCCGTGTTTCCGTAGTCCGTTTTTGAGAAAATCCGTGTGAAGAACTCCAAACTCCCATCGGACGCGACCCCAGGTGGCGGATAAGGGGAAATAACTGCGTACCAAAATTGGAAAAATTTCTTTACTTTGAAACTAAAAGAACTGCCTACCAACTTTTTACTAACATATTTTAGTATGGACGGCTAAATATGCCTCCCGGCGCCAATTTTTTATCTTGAGGAAAAGGCATTTCTTAATTTTATTTATTTTTAATTAGTATTGCAGTTTAAATTTTGAACCAGTTTAAAATTCTTTATTCATTTTAAGAATTTATTTATCTATAGAAAACCCTTTAACTTAATTTTCTCAACATACTCCTTTGCTATATTTTTTTAAATTTGCTTTTTAATTTTCTTTTCTTTTGCACAATTTTTAATTTTTAACCTTTATAAAGATCCTTGAACTTATTTCTATTTCCCAGGCACTGCATTTCTTGCATTTGTTAATTTTTGTTTATTTATGTTCATTTATCTACTAATAACTTTACTGTTTAAAATTTTAACTCTTATTAAAAATTTACTAGAAATTTTTGAGAGTGAAAGGGGACTCTTTAATTTTCTTAACGTTTGATCCTTTATTATTACTTATTTTTGTTTGAACCGTTTTAATAAATAGTTTTGAACCATTCTAATTAGTTTTAACTGGCATCAACGGAATTTATTCATTCTTATTCATTTCTCTACCAGTTTGCTATGCTACTGTCTAAATTTTGATCACTTTTAAGATGCTTATTTGCTACGAAATTGTTAATATTTTTATGAAGACTCTGCTTTATTATTTTCTCGACATTATCCTATGCTAAAACTTATAACTTATTTTCCTTTTGTACCGTTTTAATAATTTGTTAAACCATTTAAAAAAATTTGAACTATTTTAACTATCTTTGGTCCACATTATTTTAGAAGCTGAATTCATTCATTTTAATTCGTTTCTTTAGTAGTTATTGTGCAGCTATTTAAATTGTGAACCTTTTTAAGACGTTCAATCACTAAAATATATAAAGAGGGGACTCTTCAGTTTAATGTAATTAATATCTTCTTTTGATAAAACTTTTGACTTATTTTATTCTTTAGCTCTTCTAATATTTTTTGAACCCTTTTAGTTAGATTGGATGTAATTTCTAGCCTACAGAATCCATATTCATTCTTGTTTAATTCTTCACAAGTATAGTATTATATTTGATATTTTTTTCTTTCTAGGTGAGTGATTTAATAGATGAACCCAAATACGAGAGCATGTCCGATGTCCTCCCTGCACCTCCCTACCAGTCAGCTATCAGATCAGCGGATAGCGACACAGACCCCAATTACGAATCCGTAATGAACCACAGACCACCCTCGACCGATCCCAACTACGAAACGGTTAAAGAACCTGCCAAACTCGAAGACGACGACGAAGATATACCCGGTTACCAAAAAATCAAAGCCACAGCTTCGTCGGAGAGTTCGAACAACAGTGCGAGCAAGACGACGACAGAGGACGATAGCGAACCGCCCTACGAGAGACTGAATAACGATAACAGCGACTGCGAAGCTTGCGGGGGGTACGAGAAGGTGGGTAGGTCCAAGGACAACAGTCAAGGCAGTTCGGGGAACGAAATACCTGCGCTGCAGAACGAGGTGGCCGACGGTGAGCTAGGGACGTCGTATTTGCACGAAGAAGACGCCGTCGTACAGGTTTGAGAGGTCTAGGCTTGAGGCTTTGAACCATTTTAATAATGTCAAAAACAGTCGGTAACTGGTCTGTTTATGTATAAATACAAGTGTGGATTACGGCGATGGATCCATAACGATTGTCTCAAGTTTTGAACCATTTTAAAATTTTTGAACCATCATAATAATTTTTGAATTTTTTTTTATCGAGCCTTGAACCAAACTATTTTTAGCTCACAGAAACGACAGTGATTAATTTTTGTTTATCTTTCTACTAATAACTATACAATTGTTTAGGTTTGAGATACTGAACCATTTTAATAATGTCCAAAACGGGTCTCTTTATATATAATATATTAATACAGGTGTCATTTGTGTGTGGATTACGACGGTATGTCCCTAGCAATTGTCTGATGTTTTGAACCATTTTAAAAAATTTCAACTATCATAATTATTGTTGAATTATTTTAGATTTAACGAGTCTTAAACCAAACTGTTTTAAGTTACAGAATCGACAATGATTAATTTTTATTTTTCTATTACCTATACAACTGTCTAAATTTTGAACCATTTTAAAACTTTCATTTACTAAGAATTTTTTAATATATATACGAGTATAGAGGTGATCCACATTACTTTTTCTAACATCCTCATCAGTTAAATCTACTGATTTTTTGACTTTTTGGACCATATTAATAATAATTTTTTAGCCATTTCAACAAGTGCCCCCAAACAATGCACAAGCTTTTAGAAATTATATTTATTAATTTTTACAGAATTAATTAATAATTAATATTTTTTTCTAAATTATTTTAATAGATAGGTACTCTTGAACCAAAATATATATATTTAACCTCGTTATATTTAGGTTTAGGAACGGTATATTTAGTCTTGAAATTTGTTATTACTACAAATTTGTATAATAATATATGAAAATATTTAAAATGGTTTGAAACTTACAATGATGCTGTGGATTTTATGACCAAGTCACAATAAAACTAAGTAACAGTTTATTGAATACCGATTAATATTGCCTGTAGCGTTTTGCTTTTAGTTTGAATATTTAAAAAATTCTTTATATATTTTCTAAATTAATAAAAACAATTGATCCGTCCAGTCAGGTCTTAAATATAAAAAAAAATAGTTTTAATAATTTAATTTCTATTATGTCATTAAGTCAATTATTCCATAATCTTTTTTAAGGTTTACACTCGATTTTAAAAAATGAGTTAAAAAAATTTATTTATTTCTATTCATTTAACAATATTAACTCATATATTTTACAATATCTGTGATATTTTAAATATATTCCATACGTAAACAACATAGAATAATTATTTAAATTAAACATATACATATTTTTTAACATTTTTTTAAAAAACATGACTGTATCTGTTACATGGTTTTTTTGTGACACAGTTTGACTGAATTAAAAAAATATATAATATTATACAACGAAATAATATATTTATTTGTATTTTGCTGTGATTTTAACTTATTGGAAGATAAAATATATATACATATATCTAATTTAAGACTATTAATATATAACATACATAATTAAGTCTAGAAATACATATTGTATAGGTTATTTTTTTCTATGTTTTTTGTAATGTGGAATCATTAACCATTTTTTCAGATTAAATATACAAAAAAGTATAGAAAGTCACAAAAAAGCATCACGCAGGGATGGATTAGCGTAGTAAATTTCGAATTTGGGTTTTGTGTTACATTTGATGCGTAACAATTATAATAAATGATATTTCGTTCAATATTTTTTATTAGTACTATGTAACAAATTCAAAATATTAATAACTATGTATAATAAATGTGTAACAAATATTAAGTTCTTGAGTAAAAAAATATGTAATAAATTCCTAATTTCCTACAGATCCTTCCTTGATCACATGCATTAATTTATACATTGTTCTTTATGAATAATGATATAATTATAGTTTTGGATAATAAATTGTTAGATATAAAAAATAATAAGTCAATAATTATTATTTTCTTCCTAGCAGTAAATTATTTTTTTAAATTCTTTTAACTTCATTGTACAGGGTGAGTCAACGATAGAGTAAAGTCCATTATCTCATTTGTTTCCAGGTTTACAAAAAAATATTAAATATAAAAGTTATAGGGACGGTTAAGATACACATTTTAAAATTATTATAGAGTATACAAGGTGCTTCAAAAAACTGTGGCGAATATAACATGTGCTTTTTTAAATGCAACACCCTATTTTTTATTTTATTTTTAGATTCTGCGTAAAATTCCATAACTTTTTTGTATATAATGTTATATACCTAAAATTAATAGTTTCTGTAATATTTAAATTTGTTTAAACAAATGTTAGATTGCAGTGTGATAAAAAATTGTCAGTGATGGCATTGTTTCTGAAGTTGGGCAACTAAAATTTGGTAGGAGAATTTTATAGAGATATAGAAAAAGTCCTATGTAAAGATATTTTAGTTAGATGCTACTTTGTTCAAAATATATTTATGAATTTCAACTACTTAAAATTAAAAATCTCAATTTTAAATGGGACACCCTATATATTTTCATTTTTTCTGATAGACTTTACAAAACTCTTTAACTTTTATTAAGTATGTCATATACCTATTTTTAATAGTTTGCGATTTATTCCAATTTTTTCTATTTTTACCCATATTTTTAATACAATTACGCTATAACATCATAGTTGCCATGACAAAAAGTGATAATTATCAAAATTTCATGTTTGTTAAGCAAGTTATGAAAAAAATTGAATTTTAGTTTAATTTGTTGTAATAAGTATAAATGGTAGAGTAATAATAATAGTTGCAGATTTTCCTGATATGAATTAGTCCATGTGACTGATATGCACCAACAAGTCAAGAAAAACATATTTTTTGGTTCAGTACAATATATTATATAGTAGGTACTTTACTGAGTACTATAAGAATAGATGTAGATTATCTAGAAAACATCTTCAGTGTGTAATGGGACGGTTTTGTGGCAGTAGTAATATTGGCTTTACCAAATGAATTATAAACCAGAATTACTACGAGAAATAAACTTTACTGTATGTCGAAGAAAATTCCTATATCAGTAGTCTTCAACAATTAAGTAATCTAGTATTACCCTAATCTGTGGCTATTCGCCCCGACGGAAAATCCAAGTGTCATCTTTCATAATATAGAAAATTACAGTTGAGGGTTGGAACCTTTGGTGTTACACAGCAAAATAAAATTACACTAAATCACCACAATACACCAAAACACTATTACTTTTACACTGGACGCGCGTTTCGCTAACCATGTTAGCATCATCAGCAGATGATTATAAACTAAATTAAAAATAATTATAATCATTTGCTGATGATGCTAACATGGTTAGCGAAACGCGCGTCCAGTGTAAAAGTAAAAGTGTTTTGGTGTATTGTGGTGATTTAGTGTAATTTTATTTTGCATAATATAGAAATACACCAAGAAATTCACGACTGCAATTAACCTACTTGTTAAAGATAGGTAATAAATAGTTTTGTTTGTTTATTGGTAATTGTATTAAAAATATGGGTAAAAATAAAAAAATTGGAATAAATCGCAAACTATTAAAAACAGGTATATGCAATGACATACTTAATAAAAGTTGAAGAGTTTTGTAAAGTCTATCAGAAAAAATGAAAATATATAGGGTGTCCCATTTAAAAAAATTGAAATTTTTTAATTTTAAGTAGTTGAAATTCATAAATATATTTTGAACACCCTGTATCATTTAACTAAAATATATTTACATATATCTTATTTTTCACCTCTATAAAACCCTCCTACCAAATTTTGGTACTCCAACTTCAGAAACAATGGTACCACTAACAATATTTTACCACACTGCCATTTAACATTTGTTTAAACAAATTGAAATATTATTTATATTTATATATTTTAAGAATTTAAGAAATTAAGTTATGGAATTTTACGCAGAATTTTTTTGTAAACGTCGAAACAAATGATATAATGGACTTTACTCTATCGTTGACTCACCCTGTACAAGCATCTTAAATTTAATCTTATATGACATACTATTTTGTATATTACTACATTTATGAAAGACTTAAAAATAAAATAAATGTTATGATCTATTTAAATATAAAATAAAAAATTATTATTTTTGGAGCGTATAACAATTAATTGTTTTTCTAAAAAAAATATTTTCTATTTATAAATGTATTTGAAAAAATTCAGTATTACAATCTTTCAATTGTGTTACTGTACTCTTATTCTTTATATTGTACCGAGTGTCCTATTATCCCTATTTCAATGGAATACTTTATCATTTAACAGTCATAATAGGTAAACTCTAACGAAAATTTCTTAATTTATTACCCTATCATATACAGGGTGCTTTACCTACGAACATGGTTAAATTGGGGCAAAGTTGCGCTTTAGGATGTTCACCAAGATGTCATCAAAAAGTTTTAAAAATTTCAAGGATTGCTGAGTTTTTAGAAAAACGGATTTGTTTGAAAATCAGTTTTATTTTTTCCTGTCGTTACTTTTTTTTAGAAAATTAAAAACTAATTGCACATTCTCATAGCCACTTTATTAGAGAGCTATCTGATGGTGCTTTTAGATTTTCAAATTAGCTCATAATTTGTGAGATACAGAGGCCAACTTAATTTTTTAAATATGGACCTCCTTTTTTATTTCAGGTTTTGAAAGATCTCGGCCTCCTGAGTACAATGATATGCCACACTTGATACTTTTTTTGTTTTGGGTTCCTTAACAATAACAAAACTATTTAATTGTTATTTAAAATAATTTCAAATCCGGCTCTGATTTTTTAATTTATATAATCTGATTATATTCATCACAACAATATTGATCAGCGCTAATTAACATTGAATAAGGAAAATCAATAAAAATTGTTTTGGGCATTTGAAATCAATACATTTCAACATTAAGAGTACAAAAACAATTAACGTGTAATAAAAAACAATTAAAAAGTACAAAATATATTCGGAAGTATAAGAAGAAGATCTGTTCAAAGAGCTATAAGTAAGATTGAACGAAAAACAAATGTGTGCATTATGGAGGGTGGTAAACCTTTCGAACATGCAGAGTATTACTTAGAGTACACTAGTTTGTAGAAGTTGATTTATTTATAATAAACTACGATTAATATTATGCATATTATTACAAATTACAAATTACAAATTCACAATTAAAAAAGTTAAAAATAATAGATATCTTTAAATTCCTGACCTGGAAAATTGGTTTTCAAAAAAATCCGTTTTTTCCAAAAAACTCATCAATCCTTGAAATTTTTAAAACTTTTTTGATGGCATCTTAGTGAACATGCCAAGGAGCAACTTTGCCCCAATTTAACCATCTTCGTATCTCTTACGGTTTCCGAGATACCAATGCTCGTACCTCGAATTTGTAGCACCCTGTATAATACTTTCTAGTGGAAAATTGTTTCATAATGTTTTTACATTAATGTTTGTTAATCAGTTACATAATGTTTGTTAACCAGTTACTTATACAGGAAGGATCACATCCTGTACAAGTAACTATTTTTAAAACAAACATCTTTATAATTCATGTCCTGACATAATATCTTTCCAGATTTAAATACTTTACATAAAACCAATAATAAAATAAACTATGTATAATACTAAAGAATTTTAGTGGAACAAGGATTCTGAGACACTCGGTATATTCAGGCGCAAAGAAATATAAAACACAATGTATATAGCTATTATTTGTAATAATTTATTTATTAATATATTTAATTTGTTTGGTTAGAGATATTATGACCCAGAATTGTTTTGGTAGCTTTCATAATTTATTATTACTCGTATTATTATTTTTGTAATATAAATTAAGTTTCAATTGATTATCTTTTTTAATGTGTGATAATATAATATGCTTTATAAGTGACAGAGTGTATTTTAATTAAATAAAACTTGTTTAAAGATTCTTTATTTTTACACAGAATTTGAGACAGATGAGTAGCCTGTCCAATAAAAGAATGTATAACACTGACTCATTTTACTAAAGTACATTATCTTCCTGTATAAAGTATTGGATGGATGTCCATCTCTCTCGTCAATATTGTCTCTTCTCTCACGGGACGTACTTTAGCTGTTATAAATAACGTAAAACTAGGGCTGGGCAATAATATCGATATTTAATAGGACCAATATTGCTTTTTTTCCATAAGACTTGCAGAGAAAATTCAGAGATCTTCGAAAGAAGATCAGGGATACCTCGAAAACAACTAATTCTAAGTAAAAAATTATAAGGACCTTTTTTGTAGGGAGGGGGCGGTATATTTTTTGCACTTTTTGTTGTACAACAAATTATATCGTCTATGACCTGTGTCTATGACCTGTTTCATCTATGTATTTTTGACTGATATTTATGTCTAATTTGACATATTATCATTATGTCACAACGAACTTTGTCTATTATTATTTTTTGTATATTTTTTTAATTAATTTCAAATTTTGCAATAAGTAAAAACAAAAATGAAGATTCCATACATCATCAACAAAAATACAGTTGTTGTTTACACACCTTCCAAGAATAGTTTACAGTTGGTCGGTGAAAATATAAGAAAACTAGTTGCGGAAAATTTCGAATGGGATAAAGACCATTGCCCATCGTTGAAGGAGTACTGTGTCAATGCTATTGGGAAGAATTTTGAGAACAAACCAATTTTGGATGAATTGCCTTGTTCAGATAGAGTGCATCTGCTTGATATATTACCGATTAAGCTTCCTTTGGAACTAATGATTCCGTTAATCGATGTAAGGATTTTTTGTGATATGTATAGTAAAATTTTTACATTTTCCGAGAAATTGAAGAGTCCATTTCACTAGTCCGGAAAAGTAGCAAAATAAGCGATGGGCATTTAACGTTTTATGTAAAACTGGCTATGTATTTTTACACAAATGAAGAAGGAAATTAAAGATAAGGATTATACTATATCCGTATTGTAGCATATTTTTAGACAACTTCTTTATTTTTAAGAATTTGATGGTCAAACATTAACAAGATATTCCTTATGTTTGGACTGAATTTTTTCGAAAATAAAGACAATTTAAAATTCCGTTACAATACGGAAATAGATTGAAGTTTCGTGATTACAGTGATATATAATTTATATGGTTTTGTAACAAATTGCTCGCTATTTTATGCAAAATGCTAAAGCTCTGCAAACCTTAATCAACCTTTAATTAAAGCACGTGTATTTGGAATTTCTGGTGTGGTTTAACACGACAGGATCGGGCTAAGCTAAGATTTCTGAAATATGATATATTCCCTCTCTAAATTTGTTACACTCCTAATGCATTTTTACAGTTATTTTTACCATATTGAAAATTACAAATGAGGGTTTTGAAAAAAGAACCTATGGTGTTACAACAGCAAAATAAAACAATAATTCACCACAATACACAGAACGCTTTACTTTTAATACTGGGCGCGCGTTTCACTAACTATGTTTAGCATCACCAGCAGATGAACTAACAGCGTTTTCAGATGGAGCGGACCATACGCGCGGATTTTTTTTCAATATAGCTCATCCGGACGGAGCATATGCGACCCGTGTGAAATCGTTCATATAAACTCATGGCACTTGCTCAAAGACGCGGACGGTCCGTCGCGAACGCTCCGCTCCATCTGAAAACGCTGTAAACTAATATCTACAAATTGAGTGTTTATATAGACGTTCGGTTGGTACTGACCAAACGTAACAAAATTAGCCAAGCGATGCCACAAGAAGTAGCACAAAATATACAGGGTTCGGTAATAGTGCGTCGGACATCCGTAGCTCTTAGAATAAAATACTTGAGAATTTTGTTTAATTGCAAAAAGTATACACAACCAAACTTATATGGAATCATCTATTATTTTTCATAATTTTTGACATGTATGAAAATTTTCTGTTTATGAATAAAATTCAGTCCTTACCAATGACTTTTAATGAAAAATAATCCATATAGCAATTAAAAAAAATTAATCATATCCCAAAATAAACAAAATGATATTTATTTGGTTTCTGAAACGAAATTAAGATTTAAATTTTTAATGGCCAAAAAGCATAAGCAAAAAGAAAATTGATAATTTTAATATTCCTTGTTGCCACCTCTAGCCTTTATGCAAGCTTCTATCCGCGCTGGCATGCTTCTTATTAAATTATCCACGTTGTCTTGGGGTATGTTTCCCCATTCGGCTAATGCTACATCAACAAGCTCTACGAGATTTCCTGGATTGTTTCGACGAGCTCTAACCCTTCTTTTGAGCTAGTCGCACAAGTGTTCGATAGAGTTTAGATCTGGTAAATAGACAGGCCAGTCCAAAACTATGACACCTTCCGTTTCAAGACATTCTCTAGTCACTCTGCTGGTATGGGGAGGTGCACTATCGTGCATGAAGTTAAAATTATCCCCGATTGCAGCTCTCCAAAGACTAACGAGTGGTTCTAGCACCAAATCAACGTATCTTCGACCCGTTAAAATTTGTTGAAGTGGTAACAATGGAGTTTTTGCTCCTACTATAATACCTCCCCAGAACATTACAGTTCCTCCTTTATATTATCGATAGTTATCTGATCTCAGGCCAATTCTGGTCTCATCCGAAAAAAAGAATATTTTGCCAATTCTCAGTTGTCCAGTTTTGATGTTGAAGGCATCAATTTAGCCGGTCAATTTTATTTTGCCGAGATAACTGTGGGATCCGTAACTCTCTCCTGCTGTAAAACCCTCGTGCACGAAGGCTTTTTCTTATGGTTTCAACTGAAACGTTCACACTTGTAGCTGTCAAAAGTTGTCTTTTTAGCTCTAGATGAGAAACATTGGGCTTTATTCTAGCAATTTAGCACACAAGGCGGTCTTCTTGTTTAGTTGTGACTCTGACGACTTTGTCTGGGCCTATCCTTGTGTATTCCTAATTCCAAGTACCTTGCATATGTTTTCGATACAACACCCTGGGTAACGCCTACTATCTCTGCTACATCTCTCTGGAGCATTCCTTGTTCGGTTAGAGCAATAATTCTTCCCCTCTATACATCTGTTAATCCAACGTAAGGCATTTTTTAATTTTTTGGGATTGAATGAAAATTACCGGACAATCGTGATTTTACTACTGAACAAAAAATTCAAAAGAAAATAAATCACAGAGCAGTCGTTTATTCTTTATTATCATGTTTATTTACAACAAAAAGCTTTATCTTAAAGTTGTATACCAATTTTTATCCTTGCAAGAAATTTAGTCAGAAATAAAGAGTGATTCCATATAAGTGAGGATGTATTTCAGGAAAATATTTTAACTTTTGTAGGATGGCTCAAAAAAATGTGAGTGGATCGGGATGAGTTTTTTTTTAAATGGAACACTCTGTATATTATTGCATTTTTGGCTTCATTTTAGATTACTTTACGTAATCCTAAAATATAAGTAAATATATTTCGAAAATTTCAGAGATATTAATAAGTAAATAAAAAATATCTATTTTACAACCTTCCTTAAAAAATTACTACAAATACAAGAACCTGTCTTGAAAAATCAAAACTATATTAGGTACTTACTTTAGATTGTCTATACATACTTTGCTGTAAATATCGTAATTTTAAATTATACAGGGTGTTCAAAATTCTACGGCGAACTTTGTAAAATATAAAATAATTTTTCTTGTTTTTTTTAAATGGTATATTTTTATTAGATGGAGAGTTAAAATATGAACATTTTTTGTATTCAAAGTATTTAAATTTTTTTAATGGTTTTGCAGATACACGCAGTATTTTTTCATATGGCTTTCAACGGTAAAATACGAGAGACAAATCATTGCGTGGCTTTGATAAAAATTTACTGTCGAAAATGCTATATGAAATATAACACCGCGATTATCTGCGAAACCGTTAAAATTTTTGAAATACTCTAAACACAAAAAATGTTAATTTTTTAATTCTTCATCTATTGAAAAAAAATATACAGGGTGTTACTTCGTTAAAAAAAAACGAAGAAAAATTATTTTATATTTTAGAAAGTTTGGCGTAGAATTTTGAACATCCTGTATGATTTACGATTACCATATTTATAACAAAGTGAGTATAGACCATCTAAAGTAAATACCTATTATAGTTTTGATTTCAGGACAGTTCTGGAATTTTTAATAATTTATGTAAGAACGGCTGAAAAAAATAAAAATATATATATATATATATATATATATATATATATATATATATATATATATATATATATATATATATATATATATATATATATATATATATATATATATATTTTTTTTATTTATTTATTAATATCTCTGAAACTATCGAAGTGTATTTAGTCATATCTTAGGATTATGTAAAGTGATCAGAAAGGAAGCCAAAAATGCAATAATACAGGGTGTTCCATTTAAAAAATCATCCCGATCCACTCATACTTTTTGAGCCTTACTTTAGGTTTTCACTTAAACAACATTCCCAAGTTGTTTATTCTAGGAGCTACAGATACCCGGCGCACTATTGCAGAACCCTGTATAGACGCTCGGTTGGTACTGACCAAACGTGACAAAATTAGCCAAACTATGTCACAAAAAGTAGCACAAAATATAGTGACCTGTTGACCAGTTTCTTATGCCCGTCAGTATGAATTTTAGTTTTCTAATAAAATAAGACCCTCTAATTTGCAGATTTCAATGTCGTTAAAGCAGATAATTAAAACTAATAAAACAGTTTTAATAATTATTTGATCAGGTGTTAGGTATCTTGATTTTATGTAATTTCTAAAGGATGAATATTATTGGAAACGTCGATACCACGAAACCTACGGTCTCATTAAACGCCATCTGCCTGAAAACTGGACTTACAAAAGCGTTTACATAGAGAGACACGTCCAGCAACTAATCGAAGAAGCCCAGCCCCAATACAATGACGAAGAAACTTTTGACGAAATCCTCGATTTGTGTTCTCCGTATGTCACTTGTTTGTATATCGAACAGATGCAGGCATGGAAACCACCATTGACCATGGAAAAAGAAGATATTCCCGAAGAATATCCTATAGATCATATCAATTTTTGGCCTATTTTGAGGAGGTTACCTGAGGTGGAAGAGTTTCATTTGATTTACGGTGATTTAGTAATGACACTTAACAAATTTTCCAAACCATTTAAGCTTAATTTTCATGCATCCGTTGTCCGACGATACGATATGATATGATATTAATTTAATTGGTTGAAGACTTGGTGTCATTTTATATTTTCATTTCCATAACGATTTCGCTGTTTTACTTATAGTCTAAGAGCTAGCAACGTTTTGGAAAGAGAATTTTAAGAAAGCTGGTTTTTTAATATCTTTTGCTGTGCTCTCCTGAACAGAGTGCGGACCGTCTGGCTGCCGGTAGACGTTGCGTTCACTACTGCGCATCTGTATCTGTATTCAACATCTGTTCACTACTGCGCATCACAAATTTGCCCTGTATTTCTGAAACTAAGGAGGCTAGGACAAACCTATGTGTAGCATATTTAGTTTCATAAAAAAGTAGCAAAGTAATGGGTAAATCGCATCATTGTATCTCTACTCATAAACGAGAAATCCCATATAACTAGGGAATGCAGTCCCGCACCAAAATCTCAATCCCGCAAACCCGCAGGATTAAAGCAATGAATCCCGCGGATCCGCAAAATTGCGGCACTGTAAACAATAGTCATACATTTGGTCCTAAATGGTACAAAAGGCATTGTACATTTTGCATAGGCCCACAATGTATTGATATAGCGTGTATCTTAAACTAGCTGTACAGAAATTTGGACCGATTTATACAGGGTGTTCAAAAAATATATTTAATATTAAATAAACTTAAATTTTTTTATAATTTATCTACTTATTTTATAAATAAAAATATTATTCCGATGTTGAAGTTTTTTTTAACTTGTGTTATCTGCTTTTTTAGATACACTGCAACTACAGTTATCTGCTTTTTTAGATACACTCTATATCAATAATTTTTTGGCATATGCAGAATGTACAAAGCTTTTTGTACCACTTAGGTCCATACGTATGACTAAAAATGCGTATTTTTCGAAAAAAAGTCGATTTCCCTTAAAACAAAAAAAAATATAAAACCGATCGAATTGTTTTTTCTAATTTCAATACAGATTAGTCGTACTTGGTAAAAATTTCGATTTTTAAAACTCGTAAATTTGCGGTAAAAAAGATTCTTGACCAAATTTTCACTCTCTTATAAAACACCCTGTATACGAGAATTCGCTAAATATATTTTCAAAAATCACATAGCATCTTAATCACAATAGATGTATCTAAAACCTGGTCCAAACCGCATCCCAAAATCTTTTTTAGTTCAAGAGATATTCAACTTTAAATTTACTAAAACTTACCTAAAATTTTGCTAGTCTCGATAATTATGTCCGGCAGTTTATGTGACGAAATTGTCCACAAGTACAAGTTAAACGAGTCCCCCGGGTTCCGAGCGTCGACTCATCGGCCCGGAACAAAGGGGTTTGACCTTGATCGAGATCGATTCGGTTATCCAGTAGTAAGGTGTCAATCCCGCGGATCCCGCACGATAAATCCTGCAACTTCGATTCCGTGGAATCTCAGAGTGATCCCGCATTTGCGGGATTGCATTCCCTACATATAACATACGAAAATGGGATACCCCGTATAGATGTGATGCGCAGTAGTCTACTGGCCCGCACTTTGGCCAGGAGAGCATAGCAAAAGATATATTAAATAATAATAATAAATAAATAATGTTTATTCAAACTGATCCAATTACAAAGTATATACAAGACTTATACATAACTTACGAATACACAATAGTGAATAAACATAATATCCTCTTAAGGTAGAACCTTGTCTGAGGAATTTTATTTCTACAACAATAACTACAATATTTTATTCTAAATTCTTAAACTATATCTAAATGTATCAAATTAATTTATTTCATTGTCCAACACTTAAGCACGCTTAAAAACAAGTTATTACAAAGAACCAGCTTTTTTAAAATTCTCGTTTTCCCGACGGTGTTAGCTCTTGTACTATTATATTTTTATTAAGGTTAGATTAAATTTGTCAAAAAAGTGTCAAAACGTCCATTATCGAACGATCTTTCTCCGTTGACGGGCTCAAGTAAAAAATTTACGGATGAAAAGTGGTGCGAAAACGCTATGACCAATCAGAGCGCCGTCGGACCATCGTATCAACGGATAACGGACGCATGAAAATCAAGCTACATAGACTGTATTCCGTTGTAAAACCGTCGATGTCGTCTAACCACAGACAAATTGTATTTTCTGTCATTATTTGTATGTCGTCTGTCGAAACATTTCGTTATTCGTTGGACAGACTATGTAATCGTAGTGTCTCTAATATTTTAGGTATGAATAAAGTTGGAGAAGATTTCTCATGGAGAATGTTCAAAGTGTCTGTGTCGGACTGTCAAAAATTGGGAAAAGCCTTGTTGGAATTGAAAAATTTGAAAATTGTTAGGATACATAGGAGTTCTTTAGAATTTAAACATTGTCAAGCTTTAATGCAAGGTTTTTATTTAATTCATATGTTTTTTTTTCTATGTTTTCTATGTGTTCATAAATATCATACGATCGAAAAAAAACGGCGTCAAAGTTGGCTGGGAAATGACAATCGATGACAATAGACTCTTCTTAAAAAAATATTAAAAATACAAGAACTGTTCTGAAATCAAAACTATATTAAATATTTACTTTAGATGGTATTTGCTAGAAATGTGGTAATTGTAAATCGTACAGTATGTCCAAAATCCTTCCCCAAACTTTCTAATATAGAAAATAATTTTTCTTTATTTTTTAAATGGAACACCATGTATATTATTTTTTCAATAGATGGATAATTAAAAAATGGACATTTTATGTATTTGGAGTATTTCAAGATTTTTAACTATTTCGTAGATATTCCCCGTTTTATATTTCATATGATATTTTCTACAGTGAAAAAAAAACCGTTGTTCCGTTAAAAAAAACGAAGAAAAATTATTTTAATATTTTAGAAAGTTTGGTGTAGAATTTTGAATACTCTGTATGATATAAGGTTACGATATTTATAGCAAAGTAAGTATAGACTATTATAAATAAATCTAGTACTGATCACCTTGCATATTTTTCTCTTTATTTATTTTACTTAGGCCTGATAAAACACAAATTTATCGAAGAACTCGACTTGTCCAACTGCGACGTTGGCGATGCTGGGGCTCTTTGCATAGCACAATATTTAATGGACGGTTGTAGTCTGAAAACATTAATTCTGGCCAATAATCAGATCGGACAGATTGGTTCTGAAGGACTGGGTTTCGCTATTCTCAATGACAATTGTGACACATTATATGTAGGTAAATTTTTAATATTAAAACGACTTCTCTTTTCTACGTTCTTAAAAATGTTGTTCTTGTAACTAAATGTATGTTTTTGAGGATCTGAATTTAAGAATGAACCCGCTGGGTACACCAGGAGCGATGGGCATAATGAGAGCTTTGGTACGATGTTCGAAAATTAGAAACTTGTCTTTTGCTTCCTGTATTTTTGACGAAGATACTCCTCTAAAGGTGTGTCAGATGCTGAAGTTGAACGCATCTTTGAAGGTACTCGATATCAGCAGCAACTGGTTTGGTGAATCTGGAGGACGTGTAAGATAAATAAGCGTAATACATACAGGATGTCTTTAAATAAATACCAGTATTTTAAGTCGTAGTGTATTTTGATCCTAAAACACGTCCATAATTGTTTTTTTTAATTGTTAAAATTATTAAATTTTTTCTTGATTTTTTTTTAATTAAAAAACTTTCTAATGTCCCAGGTAAAATATCTTGACAGTCCACCTATTACGCTGCATCCATTCTCAATTTTTGTGTCTATAAGTTTACTAGCGTGTACCAGCGACTTCGTTCGCGTCGAATTAATCATTTGTAATGGTGATGATAAAGCAAAGCAAGAATTTCCATTAACATTAACATACAAACTGGATAAAACTTTCTCACATTTATGTCAGCATGAGAAAAAACAATATTATTATATAACTTGGTAATAATTGAGGGGTAGTTTCATTTCGTTGGAATTTGACTTTCGAAAAATCCGTTTGCCAAAAATAAACTTTTTACCTCAAGCAGTTTAAGCAGAACCGTGGTTAAGAAATTACCCAACTTTTTGAAACACCCTGTATGATTTTTTAAAAAATTTCAAAATATGTAAAAAAACCAAATAAATTATGCTTGTCCAAGCGTTTTCCCGACAGACTAACCGTTTTTTAAATAACAAATATTGTAATATTTGAGGGGCGTTTTCACCCTGTTGGAATTTGAGATTCGAGAAATCCCTCCTTATCGAACCTCTACACAGTTTAAGCAGAATCGTGATTACTCAATGGTCATATTTTATGAAACACCCTGTATAAATTTATAAAAAATCTTAAAATATGTAAAACAACAAAATAAAATATACGTGTTTAAGAGTTTTTCCGAAAAACTCACCGGTTTTTACATAAAAAATATTTTAATATTTGAGGGATAGTTTCACCCCCTTAGAATTCGAGTTTCGAAAAATCCCGTCTTATCGAACCTCTACACCCTAAAGTCAATCTGTTTTCCAAAAATCAGCTTTTTACGTCATGCGCTTTAAGCAGGATCGTGATTAATCAATGACCAGATTTTTCGAAACACCCTGTATACATTTTTAAAAAATCCTAAAATATGTAAAAAACAAAATAAAATATATGTGTTTAAGCGTTTTTTCGGAAACTTGACCGTTTTTTTAAATAAAAAATATTGTAATATTTGAGGGATGGTTTCACCCTCTTGGAACGAACCTCTACACCCTAGAATCAACCTGTATGCCAAAATTGAGCTTCTTAGGTTAAGTGGTTTGAGCAGGATCGTGATTAATCAGTATGTCAGTCACTTAAGGATTTTATATATCGATCTACTTAAACAGCCGTTAAACGGTAGCCTACTAAAATGCCGTTAATAGATATTGTGACGTCGTTCATGTCGGCGGAAAGTAATGCCTAGCCTTAAGCATTTTGCAAGAGCACCTGTGGGTCAGTGGCTGAGGCCTGTGGCTGAGGCTATCGCTTCGTAAGCGAATGGTCCGTGGTTCAAATCTCACGCCGACCAAGATTTTTTTATATTTTTTTTTGCTTATAGCGTGATCTTATTGCATTGGTTTCACTCTTTTTGGTTGGATTGGTTTAGTTATTTGGCGGGTTGGTTAGCGTGGTTATTTGGAGGGTGTTAATTCATTGGTTAGTTGGTTATTTGGTGGGGTTGGTTGATTTTTACTAATTTATATTTTTTTTATATTTTTTATCAGTGTCGAGGTTAGTTGCGTTGGTTAAGTTGGTTATTTGGTGGGGTGGATAGCGTTGGTTAGTCCTTCTAAAATTCCTATATTTCATAAAGCCGTCAAGTTCGTCACATCAACGACGCCATACCTATTAACGGCATTTTAGTAAGCTACCGTTTAACGGCAGTTTAAGTACAGCCTTTATATATTAGTATCTACATATATAAAATGCTAATGTTTATCTGTGTCGTCTCTACTGAAGTAACGACTTACTCTAGAAAGTTGCTTTTTTTATTAAAAGATAGCTAATTTGCTCTTCTAAAAACTGTCGTCGCCGGATTTTTTGTTTTTCAATTAATTAAAAAAAAATAAATAAAAAGTATTTTTTTTCTGATGTGGCTAGTAGGCTTCAACTAGTAGATAATAAACTTACAATAACTCTTCTTTACATAATAAATTATAAAAATTGGCGCCGGAAGGCACGTATAGCCCATACTAAAATATATTATTAATAAAAAGTTGGTAGGCAGTTCTTTTAGTTTCAAAGTAAAGGAATTTTTCCATTTTTTTTTATCTCAAAAACTGCGACTTTGACTGATTTTGATGTTAATACAAAATTTTGTTGCAAATATTATTCCTAATTTTAAATTGAAAACCGCGTTTCGCTAGCTACTGTAATTTTGGAGTTACGATTTTTTAAAATTTTTAACCCCCTCCCATATCCTCTTACCAACACCCACCCCCACCAAAAACTAATGGCTAGATTCTCGGGTGCCACAGTATTTTTGTGCCAAATTTGGTTAAAATCGGTTTAGCAGTTTTTGAGTTATCGTGTTACAGACAGACGGACAGACAGACAGGCACCATGAAAATATTTTGTATTTAGGTCATTTTGAGTGAAATTAAAAAAAAACTTTTTTTCTGCCGATCTTAATAGCCTACCATACCTGGCGGTATGGTCGGCTAAAAATAAAATTTTAATTATATCAGTAGCATTAATAATAGTACTATAAATCTTCGCCATTCTACAACGTGCGAGAGAAAAAAATAGAAGAGCTTATTCATGTAAGCTCATCAATATATGCTCAGTCACTTGGGGCGCTTATGAGTCCAAAGGTATCATCGAGACTCGTCTGGGAATGCCTAGGCGAACTGGCAGCTCTGGCACGAAGGAACAGAATTAAATTATTCTGGGTGCCGGGCTACAGCGGCATCCAAGGCAACGAAAAAGCCGATGAGCTAGCTAGGCAAGGGTCATAGGCATCCTATCTTGGTCCAGAGCCAGTACTGGGAATACCCAAATGTATGGCCCGTAGTGCACTAACACTCTGGATTAGGGAGAAGCAGAATGTCCACTGGAGAAAAATACAGGACACAGGCACTTATCAAAGCAAGGCCTTTATCAAAGCTCTAAAACCGCAAAAGAGCTGCTAATGCTTAGCAGGAATAGTACGGATTACAACAGGCCTCTTGACAGGACACATGTCTGTTAAGTGTTACCTAAACACGCTCAACCTGTATCAAAGAAGTCTTTGCTGTAGACTCTGCGATAAAGATCCTGAGACAGCGGACGGAGCACATAATATGTCACTGCGATGCTCTGGATCGCAGCAAACGACACTATTTATTTGGGAAAGCTAGGTTAGAACCAGACGAACTATGCGCCCATCCTATCAAGGACCTGTATAAGTTAGTGCACGGCACAGGGATAGGAGAATGAGTGCAGATATAGAAAGGGGACAAACACAATAGGCCTCACAGGTCGCAGTGTTTCCGCCAGAGGAGGCCCCTTGTTATTGGGGAAAAAATAATAATAGTTATAACAAAACGCACTGTACTTATTTTTAACACACACGCATATTTTTATAGTTATTTTCAACTAAACTAGTACAGATTCTTATACCACCATAATACGATGCATTTTCAATGAAGTTAACTACATATTTCTATGCATGTGTCTACACAGAGAGTTGAATAAATTGGAAGCCAGCTGATTTTTCTGTTATCCATGTCTACCACAATTTCAAAATACTTGCACTTATTTAAGAGATATCCTGCATATAAGAAACTTTGCATAATATACGGGGCGATTGAATATCTCGAAATATTTCAGATTTTGTGTCTCTATATTTTGCTGTAATTTTCTAATGCACATAGAGAATAACAATTTCTTGAATATTGTGTAATCTACATTTTTTGAAATACTGGGTATCGATAAAAATCTAAAGGATTAGCTACATAAATAAATATTAAAATATCTAAAAAAACATGTATTTTTAGGAGCTGCTTGATGCACTGACTATAAACATGACTGTAGAGTCGTTAGATTTGAGGGAAACCGATATAACTCCAGAACAATTAGAGAAAATAACGGAATATCTGGACAGAAATAAGAATATTGAAGACGACGGAAAAGTATGAAAACACTGAAAACGCAGAAAATACATGAAAACATTAAAATAAAAAAATAAATAAAATTCTAAATTGTATCTATTATTTACTTAATATCTCATAAATAAAAAATAGAAACAACGGTCAATATAAATTTTGTATATTTTTATTTTATCTATTTTAATTTAATTCTGTGTTTATTTTGTTTTTGTGTTCTTGTTAACGTTATAATCGTTTTGTGAGAGATTTACATATTTACATACATATTTACTGTTATAAGACATTACGGAGTGGACTTGAACCATAGTATAATGAAACTAGTAGTTTTACTCCTTGTCAAATCCTTTGTTCTTTTCTGCCACTTGTTCTCGCCTCCCGTGACCACGGACGTAGCTGTATAGTCGTGGTCTATTAACTAGGCAAAGTATAGTCGTGGCACTCGCCATAGTTTCACAGATATGTATTTAGGAAAATATGAGTTCACAATAAAATAAAATAAAAAAAATTGATCATCGAGTAAAAACTTGCTTGAAAACAAAATATTTTCACATTTCGTGTAGGTAACACTTCTTCTGTATCTGAAAATCTTCTGATGGAAAGAAATGCGGAAAAAATATATAATGACATATTTTTATATTATTATCTATTTCAGAGATTTTCTACAAGTTTTTTTTAATTTAAAACTAGTTTAATTTTCTGTAGATAACTGGATTCGGCATAAAATTGTGCATATAGTACACTGTCTTTATTTAAAGCACACTGCAGTGTTGCCATTCTATTTCTTATTTACTAAAACTTTGGTTAAAAACATTCTATACGAAAAGTGGTAAAAAACTAGAGTGAATATAACTTTATTAATACTTAGCTATGTTTTCTTAAACATGAAGGATACCAGAATAAATTCGTGTAGAAAAATTTACTTTATCGCATACAGGGTATTTTTATGGCGTCACCAAAATCGTAATATTTAAAATGTTGTATCTCATTTTTTTTAAATGCAACACCTGTACACTGTATATTATTTTTCTTTCAGATGTAGAATTACAAGGTAAACATTTTTTGTATTTAAAGTGTTCTTAAATATTTACCGTTTTGCAAATATTTTCTGTATTTCATTACATCTGGGATTTTCAACGATAAAATATCAGACAAAGGTCATATTAGGCGGCTTGGATAAAAATTTACTGTTGAAAGAGCCATATGTAATATAATACTGCGAATATCTGCGAAACCGTTAAAAATTTAGAAACACTTTAAATAAAAAAATGTTCACTTTTTAATTCTGCATCTGACAAAAAAATAATACACAGAATGTTGCATTTAAAAAAAAATGAGATATACCATTTTAAATATTCCGATTTTGGTGACGCCATAAAAAATACCCTATATAGAATGATGTAAAAAAATGAAACTAACTTTACCATAACTTTTTTTGTGACACACCGTATATAACAAAATATTTTAGGATACGCCCCTTTATAAACCTTGAAACATATGAATAAAACTTTTTTCACATCTTCGACAACGACGACGATATTGGACTTCCTCGCACTAATGGGCCACCCTGTATATTTACGGTGGTTTAAAGCTAGGTGTGGCACTTTTCTTCCCTCAAATATAAACTCAATATTTTGTCTATAATATTTTGAATATTGTTATATTACGACCACTTAAATAAAAAATACATAAAAAAAATTCTTTCAATTAAAAAATATGAATAATTTGAGGAGGCTTTAGATGTACAAAATATTTACTCTAAAATTGTTTCAAAAACCAATCTATATAAATTATCTCGTAAATTATTATTGGAATGAAAATTTTATGGCAAATCCCCTGATCAAAAAATATTTTCATGCGCATATTTGGGACAACCTGTATATCTAAAAAAACTATTTTTAAAATCTGCCTACATGCTAAAAAAATAATAACATTTAATAATTACATAATATCTCAGCTTCTAAAATAAACAAATATAATTACATGTTTATTGATTATAACTATCAGCTTGCCGATTTACATCCGATGGAAATCTAAAAAAACTGAAAGAAAATTTTTTTGAATTATTACTACAATTAATAGCAGCACACAGTAAGGCACTCATTTTTTGTCAATCCCTCTCTGTACCGGGACGCAACGCTCGAACCTCGCAGCTCGACGGACGGAATTCAACTGAAACGCTTTGCAATCTGCCGATATTCGGCAGATTGCAAAAACTGGCAGAAAATATTTGCGAGAGTGCAACTACTCTTTTCCTTAAACTATGCTTGAACTATAGTAAGATTATTGTGAAACAGAAAGAGGGATTCAAAAACAGATATTTGTGCAGCATGCTATCGTTTAGCGCAGAAATTTTAAACATGTCGGTCGCCATGTTTTCGTTCTTATGTCTATAGGAGGTAGTTAGTAATAGTGATTATAAGTTTCTTGGTAGTTATCTTTAGTTAAGCTTCATTCAGAACGTCGAAATTAGTGGGATAAATTAGTGGTTTCAATTAGCGTTGAAGTTGTTCCTTTAATTTCAATGTAAGCAGTCAAAAGAACGTCAAAATCAGTGGTAGTCATTAGTAGAATATTAAGCTTCATTCAGAATCTCGCAATAGTGGAATAAATTAGTGGTTTCAATTACACTTTATACTTTTTAGTTTACGATAATTCACAATGTTTAAAAAACAGAATTAAAATTAATAGAATATCCTAGCAACAGCTTGCGGTAGTCAGTTGTATACATAGAGAAAGTTTATGGATTACAGTTGGGGGTTGGAACCTTTGGTGTTACACAGCAAAATAAAAACACTAAATCACCACAATACACCAAAACACTTTTACTTTTACACTGGACGCGCGTTTGTAATCATCTGCTGATGATGCTAACATGGTTAGCGAAACGCGCGTCCAGTGTAAATGTAAAAGTGTAGCAGATGATTATAAACTCAGTTAGAAGTAAATTAATTACATTACTGTATTTATTTCGATGTAAAATATTTTTTTTTCTGTTAATTTAAATTATTATTAATATCCTTTAAAAATTATTGTGTGTAACTCGATTAAATTATAGAGTGTTTAACTAATAAAATTTTGTAATATTTTTACATGTTAAAAAGTAGAACGCCATTGATTAATCTGTTTTATTTCCTTTCTCGATCATTTTTGGTGAATTTTATTCATCCCTGGTTGACTTCTGTGCCCATTATTATCGATTCTAACCGCTAACTGGGGGAAATAAAATTAAGCGAGGACTATTAATCATGAAAACGGGCGATTTTGGCAAATTGACTTTAGTCAGAAATTGGGATTTCGGCTTTGAATAGATAATCATTTAAATTAGAGCGCTTAGATTTAATAATAAGTAGTGGGAATTTACACGTGATGCATGATGATTGGTTTAGTAGAATTTCCGAAAATTATAATTTGCACAGTAACGAAGAGATTAATAAGTTTACAAACATGTATGACAACTCTAATACCGTATGATCGAAAAAAACACGGCGTTAAAGACAGCTGGGGAATAAAATTATAGAAAAACATCTACATAATCAAATTGTTTTACTTGTAGATTTAAATAAACTAATACCTGAATGCCAATCTGGTTTTCCTAAGAACTACAGCGCTACCACTTGTCTACTGAAGCTGGTTAATGATATTAGAACAAACCAAGAAAATAAAAATATGACTTGTCTTAGCTTACTAGACTTTAGTAAAGCATTTGATATTCTAGACCATTCATTGCTCCTAGCAAAATTACAGTATTTTGGATTTTCAGGTGGCTCTTTAGAATTGTTAAAAAGCCTTTTAAAAGATCACATTGTGTTGTCATGAAACAGGGAAGTTTAAAACAAAAATCTAGTTATATTCCTATGATTTCTGGGGTTCCTCAGGGATCTATTCTGGGGCCACTTTTATTTTCGTTATATATATAGCTGACATGGATAAGGAAGTACAGTTTTCGAAATTGCAGCAATATGCATATGATTCTAAAATTTATTGCAAAATAGATATTAATAATTTGGCACAATTTCAGTTAAATTTTAAGGACGATCTGAATGAAATTAATAATTATGCTCTGGATCGTAATTTGAAATTAAATGCCGGTAAATCTTGTGTTATAGTATTTGGTAGTTATATAAACAAAATTACAAATACGGCTGGTAACATGAATATCCATATAGATAATGTTGTGATACTCATTGTTACAGAGTCTAAAAATCTTGGAGTCTATTTTGATGCCAAGCTTTCTTTTCAGGAACATATAACTACTAAATTAAAGGCTGCTTATATACGTTTGAAGAATTTTTCGGCTCTTAAGAAATATATACCATCAAAGACTAAGTATCAATTATGTGACACACTTATTTTATTTTTACTTGATTACGGCGATGTTGTTTATGGTCCATCCATAAACGCTAGATTCTCTAGAAACATCCAAATACTTCAAAACTCGTGTCTACAGTTTTCTTTTAACATTCCTTTTAGATATCATATAACGCCACATCTTAAAAAAATTATCTATTATATCAAAGATTATATCCATGACTGACAGACGACAATTTCATTTAATGACATTCATTTATCGAATTTTAACTACAGAGCAGCCTCACCATTTGTTCTCATTATTTCACTACGTTGACCCAATGCCCTCTATAAAAGATCAGCCTACGGACGGACTTTTGTTTACTTCATCAGCTGTACATACTTAGATATTGGGTTAGATTCTGTATTCATATTTTGTCGGTTGATTTTTGGTCTTATTTGTTATTGTAGTGCAAAAAACTAATTATTTTGGTGTTTAAGTGACATAAAGTACTACCAGATATATGGTTACTATGATGGTCAATCTGTTTCCCATAAAAAAACACGAAATATTACACGTTTTGTTAAGTGCTTTAACCTAAAAGTGCCCATAAATTTTTTATTTATCGTGATTTTTGTGTGTGTTTTTTAAGACTCAACAATACATCAATAAAGCTTAAGTGGAGTGTGTTTTTGGTGCTATGCCTCATCTTTGTTGTGTTCCTGGTGGAAAGGATAGTTATACTAGGCAGCTTAAAGTATCCGGAAGAGCAAGAAAAGTGGGTACGAGTTATAAATCAAGACAATTCTATTGAAAATATCTTTAATAAATTTAAAAATAATATTCTCC